ATCCTCATTAGGATTTATGAAACGCGTTGGGAAAAAATAAAACCTCATTATGAAAGGCAAATCAGGGATAAGATTGAAGACCGTAAAGTCTTGATTTGCGCAATCACTAAGATGCCTTTGCTTTCATGTATTTATAGGTAAAATTGAATGCTCTGATTTTAGATGTAAAAATTTACTAATTAATACAATTTTTAGCGCTTAAAATTTAATCTTGTTTTGATTGTAGTTCCTGAATTTTGAAACCTATAACACCTTATGTTTATACACTAATAAAGTTATTTCGGAGAATCTCTCTGGAAGTGGTGGTGGCGGAGGAACGTTGGAGGACGATGATCCGGCCAAACGACGCGAGAAAAAGTATAAGAAAATGAGTACTGAATCAAAAGAGGGTTCTAGATGCTTATTTTAGTCTAGAATGCCACTTGCATGTAGGGAAAACCATCTTCTGCTTCTTCGTCTTCCTGTTCTTTTCCATGACTCTCGTTCCAGCATTTGATCGAAATGGAGAATGGAGATGGGTTAAGTGGGAGAAACATTAAAGCCTTCTTCCTTCAATTTCTCAGACCAACTGGATCAACATTTTCCACCCGAAATCTGATGGTAACTTTCCCCCTTTACTTTCCTAAAATGGGCTTGTGCTTGACCCAATTGCATCTTCACTTCAGCATCTTGACTTGATATAAGAAAAATATAATTCTATACTTACTTTCTTGGAATTTACTCATTTGACAAATTGCAAAGATAATTTCACACACTTTATAAGAGTTTTCTTTTCTTAATTACCTTCTTTAGCCCATAAAATAATTTTTCCAAAATTTTCAGGTAAAAAAATTAACCTCTCACTATCTTTCTTAAATTTTTTAAGAAAATAGTCCTTTTCACTCTAGAAATTAACTTTAAACCATTTTTGGGAAAATAAAAATTTCTATAAAATTTTTACATTCTCAAAATAATATTTCATAATGTTTTCTGTTTTCTTAGGCATTAAATGATTTTAATAATTATTTTTTAAAAAATGTTAAAAAAGAAGCTGAAAATTATTAAATTCCAAATCATGTTTGGTAACAATACTTTATTTTGTTGACACTTCTTATTTTGTATTTAGTAATTTTTAATTTTGTTTTTTTTCTATTTTTTTCATTATTTTTCTTCTTTACCTCCTTAAATTTTCATCAATTTTGACCAATAAAAGAATTTTGAAACTCTAATTCTTAAAACAATTCCTTTGAACCTCATAATTCCTTAATAGCCTATTTTCATTGCCTTAAAATTCAAGATGTTAGAAAATTAGTGGCTCTAGTTTCTAAAATTTGATTTGATTTTCATTTTGATCTTTAAAATTTAAAACCATTAGTTTTGGTTCCTAAAATTTGACTTTATTTTTGTCCAGCTCTCTAGTGGAATCTCAAGTACATCTTCCCTAGTTCAAGAGTGTAGGGCCTCAGAAAGCGCCTTGTCAGTTAGAGGAGTGAAAGATTTTGGATCTATTTGAAATGACATATAAACAGGTTTTCAATTGTAATTTATGAAATATTAGGTAAGTATGTGATAAGAATTTTGTTTTGACTAATGTGAGACATGCTTATAAGTGATTTTATGCACGATTTCAAAGTCTTCATAGATTAGGTGTCGCGTATAGACTAAAGGCTCACTTAGGAGCTTCCTTAATTATCCTAGATTCATGAGAGACAGATGCGAGAGCGGGAATCGCAAACCAGGTAAGGAAGCTCTTTAACTTAAACTTAACTTGCTAAGGTCAAATTTTAGAAACTAAAATCACTGATTTAAAATTTTAGAGACTAAAACTAAAATGAAATCAAGTTTTATGGACTAAAACCGCTGGTTTCAAATTTTAAATACTAAACTGAAAATAAAGTTAAATTTTATAAACCAAAGATAGTATTAACCCAATTTAATGCTATTTTTGGTTCTTAGTATAAGATTCAGTTGACTAATTTAAAAAAATTATTAAATTACTTAATTATAACATATATTACATGATCTACTTAATATATTTATGTGGATCATTATATCATATATCAACTTATAAGTAAGGTAAATTATTTTAGAGAAACACCATAAAGATAAATAGTTTAAAGTCTTTAATTTTTCTAAATTAGCGAACTAAGTCTTATATTAAAGACCAGAAATATTACACACCACCTCTGCTTGTCCGACAAAAAAGAGACCAATAATAATCATCCAAAAAGCACGAAACAAACCGTTCCACTCATGATATGGCTTCCTTTATGTATTATACACGTTGAAATTTCATTAACCTTTAAAACCCAATAATAAATCCTTCTGAACTTTTTTTAAGTCCATGCAAATAATCGAAATTATTAATCTTTTATCCATTAAACTTTATTTTTGTATGTGTACAACATCTCAAAGTTTGAGTTACATGCAAATATGCAAATAAACATATTCAACTTTAAGTCATTTGCAGACAAACAATGAACAAAACTAATAATATAGAAGTTATCTGCATAAATATAAAATTCTAAAAACCTTATGATATCACTAGGGAAAAAAAAAGCTTATGATATTGTTTATAGTACCTTATGATATATAGCCGTGGTTATTGATTTATATTTTTTTTTTGGACGAAAGTTTTTTTTACTTATAACTGATTTTAGCATTTATTGTTTGGTAGCTTATGAAGTAATTACGGTTTTAAGTTTATAACCAATTTTGACATGTTTACATAGAGCGCCTATGCTCTATGTGAGATATACTCCTCTAGTCTTATTTCTAAAGTAGAGAGAGAAGATTTTTCTTAGTCTTATTTATTACTCCCTCCGTTCCTTATTATAAAAAACATTTGATGCTTATGGCATGTTCCTATATATAAAAGACACTTAAAAGTTACTTCTACTTTTTTGTGTTGATTTCCTATTTTACCTATATTTATTGTCTCCAACTCACACTCTTTCTCCCTCCCACTTCTCTTTCTTTTAATAATTTAATTGTTCTCTCTCATGCTCTCTCTTCTTATTAATGAGGGCATTTTTTAAAAAAAAATTATACTTTTTACACATTGATTGTTATTAACTAATTTTAACTGTTTTTTTTATCAATGTAATTCGGTTATTCGTCTTTTATAATAAAGAACGGAGGGAGTAGTTACTTTATTAAATTTTTGGTATGAATGTACTAGTTTGTCATTTATTTATTATAATATAGTTTTTTTTAAAGTGTATATATTAAATAGGGATAAAGTAAAAAAAATTGTAATATTTTAATGGAAAATTAATGCATTTTAAGATTTTTTTGGTTTATGTAAACATGCTAGAAGTGTCTTATTAAAAATAGAACCAAAATGTGTACTTCCTCTGGTCCTTATTATAAGTTTCAAATAACTAATTTACAGATAATGAACAATTAATTAAAATTAGTTAAAAATAATAAATAAGTTAGAAATATAATTTTGTTTTCAAATATGCCCTTATAATAACTAAGAAAAAGGATGAAAGAGAATATGAAGGAAAATGTGTTAAGACATAAATAATTAAGGTTAACATTGAAAAAAATGCATTAAGTATTAAGACAAGCATAAATTGAAACTTATAAAATGAATCACTCTCTTTTTCAAATTTAAAACTTACAAATAGGATCCAGTGGAGTATGAATTATATTCACATATGGAAAGTGGGTGTGTCAGCTTCCACAGATGATTTTTTTTTTTTTTTTGGGTTTGGGGTTGCGGTGGAAGGGGTTGATGTGGGGAGCTATTGAAGTGGGAAGGGGGGAGATGGAAGGCAAGGGAAGCAGTAGGAGGAGGGTGAAGAGTGGGGCGGCCAAAAAAAACCACTAAAAAATCAGAGAGCGCTGATTTCATATCATAATTTCACATGAAAAATAAAATATAAATGATAGTAAAACGAGTATGAATAGAAATTACAGAAAATTAATTTGTCAGTTCTTGCATAATTTCATCTAATTGTCAATCAGGGTATCTCTATATTATAGAATTATATAGAAATACTTTCTTTTACTTTAAAAACATAAGAATAAACCGTCTTAAACTTTTAAGTCTATGCAAACAATCAAAACTAATCAATTTTATACCCTTTAGATTTTATTTTCGTACGCATATGTGTATAAGCTCTCAAACTTTTAAGTTAATATGCAGATAAACTCATTTAATTTTAAATCATTCACAGATAAATAATAATTTTTCGCCAATCACAGATAAATAATAAATAAAAATAATAATATAAGAATTATTTATCGGATGTTCCTAGAGGGACACACAAGAATTATTTGCACAAATTATACAATTCTAGAAAGCTTTATCATAAAATTCAGAAGAAGACGTGGCCAGCGTCTAATTACGATTCAAGGGTGGGATCCCAGAAACAGGGTGCCTTGCTTAACGCATCGATGTAGAAAATTATGATAAAGGATGACCCCAATGACCCTAGCATATAAGCAAGATATTTAAAATACCTAAAATAAAGAGGACAATAGCAATATCAAGCTTGACTTGGGTGACATAAAAAGATAGCAATAATAGAGCATAAAACAAGTTGAATGATGTTAAAACTTAGCATGAAAGTTCCTCGAAAGTAAAAAAATCATCGGTTTAATTTTACTTCTAATCTCATACAATAAATAATATCTATCTCTTTAATTATGTTACATCAAGATGAATAAATCAGTTGATATATATCAATAAATCTATCACTATTATAACAATACATATTATCTCCTGTCTGTAATATAAAAAGCATATGACTAATTTATTTATATTAAGAAAACTAATTAAATTAGTAATTAATAACAAAAGTATGTTGTTTTTCTTAAACTACCTTATTTAGTCATGTGTTAAAACTACCTCATCATAAAAATTATCTTAATATATATGCAATCGATGATGATACTTTAAAGAATAAGTTATAAATTTGAAAAACATAGTAGATATAATTTTATATTTAAGATCAAAACAAATCTTTTGCCTAACCCCTATATTTAAGATCATACATAGTGTGTATATTAAAATATATTATAATCACACTATTTAGAATCTATTAATATTGTTGTTTACTACTTAAATTTTTTTTAATGCACTGCAATCATGCTGAGTTAGTTTCATAAAATTAATAAATATTTCTCACTCATTTATGTTCACATTTTCATTTATTGGATTAATTTATGGGGAACAAGCTCATTTGGCTTTTGCTTCCATTTCAGATGTAACTCGATCCGTATGTCTGCTATACACATCAACCTTCTTCTGTCAACAGGTTCTAATAGACATTCATTCTTCTGCATGTACCCCACTAATGCGTGCCTCCACATCATTTGAAACATAATGATCACAATTCTGAATTTATGAACCACCATAGTTTTGACAGAGTAGGAATGTGTTGGCAGGCCAAGATCTCACTCAAGATTGAGGATCATTTTCCTGTTAAATTCTGTGATCCTTGATATAACTACATACTGAATTTAAATCTCCAGTCCTGCTGCAAATCTGTATAAACATGAAATAAGAAACTAAATAATGTTAGAAATATATATCAGATAATCAAGGAACCCAACAGCTACCGGTAAAAACAGGAAGAGGAATGACCTCAAAGCGCAGCACAATAACATAAATATTTTTCGTCTCTAAAGTTTCTAGAGAAAAGGCTAATATTACAGCTACCAACCTATTAGCAATGCTCAGATTTATTCACCAACTTAGCAGGGATTTAAAACTTAAATTTAGAGAGGTAAAAGGAAACAAAACAATACTCAAACACCACAATTAATGTAAACATTATTCACCAAGCATATCTTGGGAAATATAGACATGCGTGAGATATGATATTATGTTTAACAGAGTAACAATACACTCATAGTGCCCAACCAGTTTGAAGAGTTGGCTACAAATTAGTGAAAGTTAAATTCATATATATATTTGTGAAACATAATTCATATAAGTTACCCAAGAAAAGACATGCACCATTTGCATCATGCATGTGGATTGTGCATAATTTATCAGAAACATAAAATTGCTAGCTAAGAGCAGTTTTAACCATTGTGTAAAAAGTAAACCAATTCATTGTTCAGCTTCCTTGTTCCTCATTCATCGGTAAAGCTGCTCAGTTGGTAGAGTGAGATTTCCAAAAAGTAAAAAAGTCAGTAACCAACTTTATGGAACACATGAACCACAAAATAATGGTGCACATTTACCAACCACAACAGCACACATGACCCTGATTATGCACTCCACATATTGCATGGCAGATATTGCCCAAGAGCTTCATTTGTCCCCTGTATTGTAGATATCAAAAATTTGCTCTCACAATACCGGGGCTACTTATGCAAGAATAATTCCAATTAACAAAACACGAATAGCGGTTCCAAAGTAAACCAACATGAAACGTAGGACAACAAATCACATCAATAAGACATGAAGATGCTGACTGACATAAAGAAAGAACTTCAATATTTCAATTGTAGTAATATGAGAATTAACGAATTATCATCTTTTTGACACAAACAGGATACTCATAATAAGTTTAATTAAGAACATTACAAGTGGATAGATAAAACCACTAACTAAGAAAACAAAAACAACTAATTCATAACTTATAGATTAAGGCCATTGACTTCTTATAGAATTTTTCACAGCACGGAGTAGATAATGAAAAATTGAAAGCACATTATTGCAACTCAGAAAAAGTACACAAAACCACTTCAACTCAACTTTAGAAATGGACATAAGAACCAAATAAGACATAAGAAAGTTTTAAAATAAAGCTGAATACATGAGGGAGCCTTTTTTTAAATAAAAACTACGCATAATAATTTTATAACAAAAAGCAACAGCGAACTGCAAGTCAACATTATTCACTTCATTTCTACCTAAAGGTTGACATGAGGGAGCACTTGTTACAAAGCTTAACAAAAAGTTTCATATTATTCAGCAGACAGTACCAAAAAAACATGAAAACTTTAAAATTTAACGAACAAAAGAAACTTCAAAGAAGTGACTTGAAGTGCAAGCTGGACCCTCAGTAAGTATGCGTACTCTTTTTCTGGGGTGCAGGGGAGCTTCATACAGCTCTCCCTGATCAGATTGAACTTTCTTAAGCTTTGGATCTCAATCAAATATATTATCATTTCACATCCAATCAACTAACATATTATTACCAACCAAATATATTATCATTTCACATCACATATCTACCTCTGAGAATAATTTTAGATCTCTATATTCAGGAGAGTCAATCATAGCACATATATTTATCCTGGAGGTCAATGCCTTAACTTGCTAATATATTTATATCAATAATCAATACATACATATATATATTTACTAAAAAAAATATACATTCGTGTGTGTACACCCATGTATAGTTGCATAAAATAAGGATACCTATTTTCTTAGACACTTGGCGTGCATCTGAAATCTATCTTTCAATTAGTAGCAAAGTCAGGCATTAATTAATTATCATTTCATGTGTCCTCTGCTTTACTACTATAGAATCTCTACTGGTCATTTTCTCAGACACTTGGCGTGCATCTTCAAGCGTACATTTTTCTTCCCGTGATGACTGGGTAACTGCGGGTGCAGAAATAAACAATCAACAATAAGAATTAAATTCCAGTAGTAGCAAGAAGCAGTATAAATGCCTGACTTGCAAACATTTGAAATTTAACATTCGTGATACCCCTTTGCCTCTTCCAATACCAAAGGTAAGCTCTGGGGATGGATAATGAACACCTGACGGTGAAATACATAAACGTTCAGTCTATTTTGTGAAGAATTTCAAAAAAGGAAAATCCATTACAGAACAATAAAATACACTAAAATAAAAGGCAAAATCAAAACTATGAGGAATACTGAAGGGGTTATGTAGAAAAGTGAAGGGAAGAAGAAAGCTTGAATTTACCTGCAGGTTCTGCCCCATAAGCACTCCTTGGTGTTATATGATCCATCTAGGGGTGTTCACGGGACGGATCGGGACCGGAACAGGCCCGTCCCGGTTCCGTCCCGATGAACAGTAACGGGACAGAAAATCTGTCCCGTGTCCCGGCCCGTCCCGGGGTTGTCCCGGTCCCGGACGGGACGGGCGGATCCGGGACGGGACCGGGACGTCCCGAAATTTTTTTTTAAAATTTTTTTAAAAAAAATCTGATTTTTTAATTATATTTTTTTTGAGCTTAAATCTTATAAAAACATCTTTTTTATTTGTTTGGGCACTCTTAAACAAAAGCTCAAAATATTACATATAATAGTTATTAAAAACTCTAAACAAAAGCTTTTAACACAATAAAAACTTGCTAAAAATTCTAATCATCAATAATCTCAAATCATTAACAAATATAAAAACTCTAAATAAATATATCCATAGTTCCATACAATAGTCTCAAATCTTAAAAAAATATGAAAAAAATGATATTATATAAAAACTTAAAAAAATTAAATTTTTTTTTTTAAAAAAGGGACCGGGACGGGACGACCCCGTCCCGTCCCGGTCCCTTTTTTGTCCCGTTCCGGTTTGTCCCGTCCCGAAAAATTTCGAGACGGATCTGTCCCGTCCCAATAAGACCGGGACCGGAACGGGCCGACCGGGACGGGCCGGCCTTGAAAACCCCTAGATCCATCTCTACCCTCACCCAACGACTGACGGCATTAGAGACAGCGAAGTCAAGATCCCACAGCTGGTTTGTAAGCGAAGGAGAAAGAAAAATTCATCCGCGAAACTGAGGAAGAGAGAAAAAAGAGAAATGGGAGGAAGACAATGGGAGCACGTGAAGGGGAGAGTAAAAACTGAGGAATGGATAACTTGGAAAGGAAGAGGCATAGGACAGTGAAATCTTGCCGCTTTTGAAATAAAAGAGAGAGAGGATAGAGATGGAGGGAATTTTAAATTTTGAATCTCACATTTTCACACTTCAGCTGAAGCACGCGGAAAACGCGTCAGACACAAAATGAAAAAAAAATGCACGCAAGCCGAGAAAATGAGCCTCCACTGTTCATAAGCTGCTACTGTTCATAGAACAGTATTATGAGGGATTAGCCATTGTGGATATGAAGTTAAGCCGGCTGCAGCTTGATTTTTATTTAGTACTACAGGTTGATTTTCCTTTCCGAAGGGATATCCTGGGACCACATCTGGATGAATGCATTTGATAGTGTTGAGATGATAACAAAACGACATACTATTCTGATCCTTAATATAAAACTTATTTAACTATTTTGATTAGATTAAGAAAATTACGTAAGTTAGTTAATCATAAAAAATGACATGTTTTTCTTAAAATATCATAATCATCTTCTTTAATATCATCTCTCCCTCTTCTACTTGATTATAGTTGAGAGAGTATTCATAGGGATAATTTAGAAAAAATTGATAAATATAAAAAATATGTCTTATATTTAAGACCAAAATTAACTAAATAATTAGGTCATATATTAAAGACCAGAAGAGTAATTCATAATGAGTCTACTAAAAATGAAAACCTTGGTTCATACAAAGGATTCTCGGAAAGAACAAAATTTTGGGCCATCCATAAATAATAGATGAAAATTTGGGCCTAATGAATACGAGAAAATAAACAAAAATTTTATACATCTATAAATATTGCTAAAAATTGGCTAAGCAGCTGATGTGGCATTGAAAGAAGCTTTAATTCGTGCATGAAGGATTCATGAAAAGAAAAAAGAGAGAGAGAGAACTCTTCAGCAAAACTAATCAAAGTGTCCATCTAACCGAAGTTATTCAAGCTTTCTTAACTCTAAAAGCAACATACAACACAAAGCATGAGATAGTTATGTATAGATAGTTACAATCCAAAGCTAGCTATTCGTTACAATTATTAAATATACCAAATCCATATATAGGGAAGTGTCATAAGAGCTATCCACTAATTCATATGACAATGTTGAAAGTGGATAGGTTTTGCTTAATTGCAAGCAACTCTGCTAACAACATCTTTGGTACCCATTCTTTCACCAGGCAATTTTGCACAACATGCCACTCCAATCCCCGCATAGCTAGCAAGACACTCTTCAATTTTTTGCTCTGTATTTGAATTCAACGTAACTTTCCTTTGGCCTCTATTAGATAGAATAAGCAAATTTGGATCCACAATCTCAAGGACTCCATCTAGTAATGCTAGCTTGCAGAATTTGGGTAGGCTTAAATCCTCACGAAACACACTATCTGTTGGCTTCTTTCCAGTGAGCATCTCTAGCAACAGAATCCCATAGCTGTAGATATCCCCTTTTGTTGTAACTTGGACACTTTTTCCATACTCTAACAAAACATTAATATTCTTTAGAGAATGCAAAAGCCCATATAATACTTGGAGTTATTCTTAGGTGAAAATGGACCATTTCTAGATAAGCATTTCACTAATATACAAACGTGTAGTTAGTCTTAAAATTCAGCACGCAACTAATTATTACTAGATAATAAGTGAAGTACATATTGAATAACATAAAAACAACAATGTAAGGAGAGTCATACCTGGAGGAATATACCCAATTGTTCCCTTAATTGCTGAAGATGTAGTTTGGCCCTCATCAGAGTAGCCTGTAACTTCATGAAGAAGCCTAGCCAATCCAAAATCTCCTAAGTGTGCGACCATATCATCACTAAGAAGAACATTACTTGGCTTGATATCACAATGAACAATAGTTTCCTCAAAACCATGATGAAGATAATCCAAAGCATGAGCCACATCAATAGCTACATCCAATCTTTGTTTGAAATTCATATATAAATTTTTGGGTTGACCAAGTTTGTTTGCAGACAACCAATTCTCCAAGCTCCCGTTAGGCATGAACTCATAAACAAGGGCCTTAAAATCATTGCCATTGTAATCAACCCTTGAACATGAAGTCAGAATCTTTAAAAGATTCCTATGCCGGACTTTACTAAGAGTTTTGCATTTTGTGATGAAACTCTTTGACACCCCATGTACTTGAAGATTTAGCACCTTCACAGCAACAAAACCTTCAAAGTGTTGAAGAGTTCCTTTGTATACATAACCAAAGCTTCCTACACCAACCAAACTGGATGAAGAAAATCCATCAGTTGCATCATGTAGCTCTTTATAAGAAACCCTCAAATGAGCATTTTGTGGGGAATATGTGGAGGAGGACAATTTTCTCCGTCTTCTTCTCTTGCAAATGATCAGGAAAATTGCAAAAGAAGCAAGGGAACTACTTACCACAATGATAAGGATAATGATTTTGAAATGCTTCTTCCCCTTACTTGGGCATGTAGGTAGCTTTAGTTGAGCAATTCCACCACAAAGATTATCATTTCCTGTGAATGAAATAGCTGTGATGTTACCAAACACCCCTCCTTTTGGAACCTCACCATAAAAATGGTTGTGAGATAGGTTCAAGGTCTCCAATATTGGAAGATCTTTTAGTTGTTACGGAATTGTGCCTGACAAGTTATTGTTAGAAAGGTCTAAGTTGATGAGAGATTTCAAGGAACTGAACGATGAGGGGATAGTTCCATGAAGGAAGTTCCCACTCATATCAAGACCTGTCAATTGTAAGCATTCCCCAAGTTCCATTGGAATATCACCAGAAAAACTATTTTTACTCAGACGTAATTCCACTAATTGCTTCATGTTACCAATCTCATATGGAATGGGACCAATGAAGGAATTGGAAGACAAGTCAAGATAAATTATGCTTTCTAATTGACCAAAAGTTAGCTTTGGTATATTCCCGCTCAAGTTACTATCAGCTATGTCCAAGAATTTCATACCTTTGCAATATTTGAGGCTTATTGGAATAGTTCCCTCAAAATTATTTATATACAACTTAAGTCTAAACAACCTAGTAAGATTTCCAAAGATATCAGGAATCCTACCAGATAATTGATTTGCTCCTAGATATAACTGCCCAAGGTTTTCAAGCTTTCCAATCGAATGTGGAACTGTGCCTTGGAGGAAGTTACGTCCTAAATGAAGGGTCATTAATCCATCTAGTTGCCCAATCTCATTAGGTATGCCTCCAGTGATATGATTGAATCCCATACTCAGCCTTTCAAGCTGCGAAGAGAGATTCCCAATTGAATTTTGTAATACACCGCTAAATCTATTAAATAGCATCTCTATTTCTTGCAATTGACTACAATTTGTTAATGATGAAAGGAAATCTAGATCATGACCTTCTTCACTCCCAAAATTATTTGTGTGAATCTCAAATATATGAAGCTTTTGTAGTCTTCCCAAAGAGGTAGGGACTAGACCCCTAAAAGCATTTTCATATATTGCAAATAATTGCAGTTGAGAGATGTTGGATAATGAAGCTAGAATAGTTCCCGTCAACAAGTTGTGTCCTGCATAAAAATATCGAAGATTTGGAAAAGCAAGGCCAATATTTGATGGAATAGTTCCAGAAAAGTGGTTGAAATCAAGACTTAAGTTTTCCAGCGAGAAAGATTATAAAGTGAAAAAGGGATTATACCAGAAATATTGTTGTCACCAAGATAGAGCTTGTATAAATTTGAAAGCCCCTCGAGAGTTTGAGGTATACTTCCCTCCAAATTATCATGTGCAAGAGACAAATGCTCCAATGATGAAAGATTTCCCAAGGAAGGTGGTATTTCGCCATGAAATTCATTATCACCGAGATTCAACCTTGTAAGTTGTTGCATAAATCCAAACCAGAAGGGAATTTCGCCAGTCAAATTATCGGAAGTGAAGTAAATTTGCTGGAGTTTGGAACAATTCGCCAACTCTAGAGGGACTTCTCCCTCGAGCTAATTTTTTATCAAATATAGATATTGCAGTCATCTAAGATGGCCAATCTGTTTGGGAATTTGACCATGCAATCCATTATACGAAAGATTAAGCAGTTTAAGAAAGGTTAAGTTACCTAATGCTGGTGCAATAGTGCCCTCCAGATTTTGATTTGTCAAGTTTAAAGCTGAGACTCTCATGTGACAGAGACTGCATGTAACGCCTTGCCATTTAGAAGTGGACGGAATCATTCCAAGAAGACAGGGCTTCTGGGTTACCATCTATTAACTTATCTTTCAGAGCAAGCAAAGCAAGCCTATCAGTCGCTGCCCCAGTGGCCGTGGCATCTCCAATATGCAATAGAATTTGAGAAGCTATGCACAGCAAGAAACTAGTGGTAGTAATGTGGGGGATCATTTTGATTGTAGCAAAGGAATCCACAAAATGAAGTCGCATGCTCAACAACTAGACATGCGGTGATAGCCTTATGCTGTCTCTCTGGTAATTATTATAGGATCTAATGTGCCATTAAAATTGAAATACAAACTATATCTTATATTAAACACGGAAAGTAATGAGTTATTAAAGGCATTGACGGCCAAACCTCAAGTCACAAGGTCAAAAATGAGCCACGTACTATATGGACATGATTGACGGGGGAGGGGACCGCCTTGAATGCGCTAGGTACTGTACTATTGACTAAAGCCTCCATAATCGGGAAAGGCATCATTGCATTTTGACAAGCTATGTGGCGCGGAGAATCATAGACGATCGCACTTGTGGAGAACAAATCTGTAAAATGAAGCGACATCACAGAAGCTGCACATATTCATCGTATCCGTTCACGGCTTTATCTCCTAAATATTTGAGTCGGCGTATTTAAATTTTCTTTTTCTTCATCTCCTTAATATAATACATAGATAACTAATTTAAAAAGACTAAATTTTAGTTAACTGTATATAATAAATATGTACTGACTTTTCTAAATTATTTTATTTAATTATATATATTGAAATCCTCTTGATGAAAATTTATTATAATCAATAAAAATATTTTTGCCCAGACATTATAAATTTAAAAAACAAAATGAATTAAAACCAATCAAATATAACTCATTAAGGGTCCGTTTGGGATTATGTTTGGGCTTCCAAACGTGCGTCTCAATCTGACTTTTGGGGTGGCTATGATTTTACGTGTTTGGATATGCGATTACCTTATCTGACTTGTGAGATTTAAATGGGCTTCTGAGAGAAGCTCATACAAGAAGCTTTTTTTTTCGGATGCGCAGCTGAGGTTGAGAAACCGTTGGAGTGTGTTAATTTTTTTACCTAACTGACCCTCTGCATGTTTTTTTTCTCACTTAACTTCAGCTCAAAGACAAAAAAAAAGACGCGCACATGCACTCAGAAGGCACAAGACGCTCTGAACCTAAAAACTCCTCCCGACGTCTGCTGCCATATCCTCGCCGTGCGCCCGCCGTCTCCCGCCGTCTCAACAGTTCGGGTTCTTGTGTGGTCGGTCGTTCAGTTCTTCCAACGTCTCATCAGTTCTTCCTCTGTTCGTTCAGTTCTTCCAGCGTCGCCGTCCGTTGTCGTCGCCGTCTCCCCCGCCGCACGTGCTTCAACTACACGAGAAACAGGGAAATCAACCGTTTAGACTTCTCACATCGCAGCAAAATCATGCAAGCCGTAAAAGCAGTCCCCACAACCAACAATCCATCGTCCCATGAAGCTCATTCATGTCGTCCTCCTTACCTTTCCCCACTCTTTGACTCTAAAAGTATCAGATTTTCTTCGGTTCAATCCTGACCCAAATAGCACCCAGCGAAGAAAACAAAGATGCATGGAGGAAGACTTGAGGGACTCACCTTGGTCGGAAATCACAACTGCATGCAACATTATCCTCTTCCGATCACTCCTCCGGCGTCAAATCCTCTTATTCTTAGCGCTCTCTTGTTGCAGGTGAGAAATGAAAGGAAGAGTGATCTAATGCTTGAAAGAATGGAAGTGGCACGTGCGGCGTCCGGTGAGGTGGCAAAATGACCAGCCTGCCCTTTTATTCTGATCTTGCTTTCTACTCATCCCTTTATCTATTTTTTGAAATTGTAAAATGAATTAAAAATAAATTCTTAATGTTTTATATGGATTTTCTTTCTCCATTAATTTTTTTGGCCCATAAAATAACTCCCGTAAAATTTTTGACTCAACAATTAACCTGTTACTTTATCTATTTTTTTAAAAAAATTAACCTAATTTTTATTTTTAGAAATGTGCTATTTAATAGAATTAGATATGTGCTATTTAATAGAATTCATGCCCTTTTAAGTCATTTTACATTCAAACTTACTTTTACATTTATCATCTAAACAAGTTTCAGCTTCTCAAACTGAATTTTTTCTAAAACCCAATCCAAACATAAATCACATTACCCTATCTGACTTTTACTCAATCTCACTTTTAGAAAAGTCAGATTGAAAAAAAAGTTACTTCTCCACCGCTAATCCAAACACACCCTAAGATTAGCATTGGACGTAGTAATACCTAAATTTTGTAAGCAGGTGCGGGCTCAATCTCATAACTTTGGGGGCCCAAGTATTTGAAAATATCAAGTATCATTTCATTGAAGCCTCGATTTTAGTCATTCTCACCCAAACCCTCATATTTTGATCAAATTAATTGATTAAATAAAAATAGGATATTTGGATAAATTCTTGGAAAATATATAGTTGAAAAGTAGCTAACGTGACTTATGCGTAGAGCCGAAAAAATAGAAAATAGGCTCTGGAGGCCGGTCTTAGAGGGCCAAGAGCTTAAACCCGTTTAGGTCCTTTTATAACTTTTTTTTAATTTTTTATATAATTAATATTTCAAATATTTAGTTATTATTATCATTTTAAAATTAAATTTTACAAAATGATTTGATTTATTTAGTTTTAGACAATAATTTATCCAATTAAATTTTTAAAAAATAGGTTAATTTGGACTTTAATAATGATTTGATTTATATTATATGCGTTGATATTTTTAAACTATATATATATTTGATAATAGAGTATTTTTATGCTTATAACTTTTGATTATATAATTTGAATTAGAAATTCATGAATTTCAACAACAATGTTTCTCACATTAAAGTAAAATAATAGCTAGATTGCAAAATTTAAAAGCAAAATTCCTATAAAGAAGAAAAACTTGATATTTTTGTTACAAAAGAAAAGCATACTTATGAAGAAGAGTAATTAATTATAGTGATAGTGAAGTTTCAAAAGATTAATAATAGTATTTATTTATTGCACAATTGCATTATAGATAAAGCTTTTGGATATTGTTATCTCGTTAATGAATGTTTTAGATGTTCTTAGATGTTGATGGATATTCATATATGATGATATTTTGTATATGTGACTTAATTTTATTCATATTTATGTCTTTTATTAACAATTTCTTTGGTTTATTTTTATTTTTTTGATAAAAAATATGAGAAATATAAAAAATAGCATTTTTCTTAAACGGGCCAAAAGCCTGCGGGCGAACCCTGAGCCCGTTAGTTTAAAGGCCGGGCCTAGTAAATTGAGATATTTTTGAAATTTCAATTCTGGAAAGCCGGCTCTTTTGAGCTTGCCAGTCCTACCCACCTCTACTTATGCGATAACTATGGTTTTTGGTTTATAATTAATT